TTCCATAAACCACGGTGACACATGAAGAAGAGACTTCAAGAACATGGAGGATCTACTAAGTCGGAATGCTCTACAAAAGAAATTTAGTAAATATGAATTTTAGCAATTGTCAAATATGTGCATTTCTTTCACTAGTTTTTGACCACTTAGGGTCATAAACATCCAAAGATTTCAAAATGATCCATAATTCAATTATTCAATTCTTGACAGCGATGTCCAAGTACCAAGACCATTATTTTAAAGGAAATAAGCTTTCCGCTGAGGCATACCTTTCCAGGCATATCCCTACTCATCGCTACATTCTCATCCTAGACATAGATGAGGTGATTGTACCCCTTAAGCACAACAACTATGCTGATCTTCTTGCTACTATTGAAGCAAGCACAAAAATTGACAAGATCAGCTCGCTTTCCTTCTCAAATGTTTTCAAATTTCCCGCCGAAGAAGTGGATACAACCAGGCCAGCGCATATGTTTATGCTTCGTAACGTAATGCGTTCGAGAAAAACTAGTGATCATCGAAATTACGGGAAGAGCATGACAAAGTAAGTTTTTTCTTCGAAATTTTGAAAAATATGAATGAAAAGATTATAATTTAGCACAAATACGGTAGCTACCGTATTTAATCACTTTGCACTGCATCGTCTTAACGGAAAAGTTGCCGGTACAATGTATGTGCCAGAGAAGTTGGGAATCAAGCTGCACTATAAATCTACCTGCCCAGTAGAGGCACATAGAGAGTGTCCGGAATTACAAAAGGATACGGTAAGAGATCACAGTTTGGATAGATTTGCGGATGAACTGGAACGACGAGTGAATCGAACATTGGCAGAATTGGAACTATTGTAATAATAAGACGGGTTTTTTCTCTAACTATGTAGATAAATTGTATAAATAAACAATAATAAGATATTGTTCGTAAGAAAGCCAAGCATTAGAAAGAACGAAGTCATAGAAAAACTAATCAAACTCAACATGAAATTTTTTTTTGAAAACAAGATGAGAGAAAAGACTTACATAAAGGTCTGTCAATATTATATGATTGACAGCTGCTGTAGAAGGATGAATTCCAGAAATATAGTCGTTGGCAGTGGCTTGTACAGCTACGTCCAAGTTGTTAGTATGCCTTTCAAACATCTGAAAACAAGAGTATTAAGGTAGCTAACAAAAAAGGGAAATCAAGTCCTTACAGTACATAGTGCATTTGCACACTTT